CAGGTACATTGGGTTGGGGACCCATCCTGAGAAATTGGACAGGTTAAAATCACCATCTTACCCTTGCGGGTAGATTTTGTATACAATAATGGGGAGATGATTATTGTTTCAGGTTACAATGATGAGTAATATGGTACTGATTATTTTGTTGAGATCTAGACTGTGCAAAATTATTTTTTTATTAATGGAAATTTAAAATTTTAACTTATAATTTTGTATACAAAAAAAAATAATTTCATTTGAGAGATACCTATAAAATTATTTTTTATTTTAAATTCTATATCAATTAAAAAATAATTCATTAAAAGTACACAAATAAAATTATATTAAAGTAGAATTAGAGAGTTGGTCTCTTAAAACGAATAAGTTAAACATAAAATGAAAACTTTAATTTGTATGCGTGATTATGAGTGGCTTTTATGGTTTAATTTGTGTGTCCACATGCTGGCCAAAAAAAAAAAAATTGTGTGTCCACCTACATACTTGTTTTATGTATAGAAAAACTTTGTCCTGAGTATGTTGAGGAAAACCTGGAAGCGAATAATAGGGACTTCATTATTTCTGAGGATTAATTAAGTTTATATAATATAATTTGGAAAACTACAGAAACAAAATTAGATAGATATTAATTATTTATTGAAGCAGAATTTTTTTAATTTTAAAATAGTTTAGATTCCAAAAGAAACAAATATTCTTAATAAAATCCAAGGGTTCAATTTAGTTAAATAATTAAAATTCATTCAAAATAATCACTTTAACGTCTAAAGTTAAGAGATTAATATTTAAATAAAAAAATTAAATTTCATATTTAATTTTTATATAAATTAACCATATAATTAATGAAAATTTAATTGTTAAACTACACAAAACTAACGAAAAAATTGAAATGTATCAACGGGGAAGACTACATTGCTCACTCTATTCTTACTTAATTCAAACGTGATCAGCGTCAAATAATTAATTACTTGACATGACTTTAATTTTTCAGTCCTCTAACCGGTTAATGTCAAATAATGATAATTTTTTGTACCAATCATTGTAATTTAAATGAATTAAATTTAAGACAATACTTAAATCAAATTTCTTATTTTTATTAATGTCAAGTTTTTCAATTACACTTTACCATGTATTTTTTTTTATATCATCATTTAATGCTAAACCCATATAAAAGGAGAACCCATGGCAAAGTATGATCGGAGAATTTGATATAAAGAATCCTAATTAAACCCAGCTGAAATACTAAAATTCTAATTGAGGCCTCCGTTTTTAACAAATTCTCAATCAGGCCAAAAGGCCTAATTAGGATTTTTTTAATGTTATTAAAATACTAAAATATCCCTTTATAATTAAAAATAATTTGTTTTAAAAAAGAAACCATGAAAACTTTGAACTGTACAATATTTACTCATAGAAAACATTTTACGTCGAAAAATTTAGAAATACCTTATATGACTTTACACTTATATTGAAGTGGTTGTTATATGTCTTTCACCCATAATTTAAAATTTAGTGAATGTGTTTGAAAGCTTGCTTTCAATTTTTATACTAACTAAAACTTGACGTATCCATACATACTTTTAGTAAAAAAAAACAGGCTTAATGACCCAAAAAAAATTAACGAACTCACATCTCAATTACTATCTTCTTTATAATTTTCTATCCTCCTATCTTAAGTTAATCAGAATAAATATCAAAGGTTTGAAATTGCGTTTTTTATAGTTCTTTTTTCGAATTTTGATGATGCAATACGCACAACTAAATAAGTTTGAAATCAACAACTGAAACGTCATAGTTGAACCAATATCCTTTTGTTCAAATGAAAAGAATTCGAAGCTGAATGAAAGGAATATTAGAGAATATTTAGTCATGATTTGATTTTTTTAATAATATTATTTTTTAATTATAAAGGGCTATTTTAGTCCTTTAACAATATTCATAAATCCCTAATTAGGCTTCTTGGCCTGACTAAGAATTTATTAAAAAAGTAAGCCTTAATTTAAATTTTAATATTTTAACCAAATTTAATTAGGATTCTCCCAATTCAAAATAATAGTTATAAGAAACTCGACCTCAATTTTTTCTTCTTAAATTTAATATATAAGCATTTATGAATGTTTTGTAAATATTTAAAATTTTAATATCAGTACTTTTTTTTCTAATAAAATTAACGGTGTTAGAAATAAAAGAGAGAAAAGATATTTTGTTAAATCAAGAGATTAAAATGAAATCTTATGTAAAGTTAAAAAAGAACAAAAATTCACTTTTGCCCTGACTTAAATATCTCTTCTTAATTTTAATAAGATGGTTAGAAATGATTTAGATACAGAAGTTGAAGAAGTACAGTTGGAAAATAGTGAAGTTGCTTGGAAAAGAACTGGAAGACCGTAAAAGCGCGCTCTCCAACTTTGGGCGATGCAATTTCGGGGAAGCAGATACGAAGGGACGCTCCACTATGAGTTTCATTAGTCAATGAGCAGATTTAAGTGTACTGTGGTTTTATAGACATTGAAGACGAAGACTTTTTAATCTTTGCAGAAAGTGATAGACTATGATTTGGGGCGAAGACTTGGAAAAGAAGGTCGGAAAAAAAAAAGGTGGAAAGACTTTTGTCAAGTAAAAAAAAAAATTGAGAAAGATTAAGGTATACAAATATATATACACTATCTGTTTCTTAGCATGAGAGCCAGTTTGACTTTCAACTTAGTTCTAAATATAAGATCCTAATTTATTTTATCTCTCATATTTATATATATATTTTTCAAGATAGTCTTTGTAGCAATTGTATATGTTAAACAACTTTGAAAAAGAAAACTTGGAAAAGAATTTCAAAGATCTTCATAATTAGTATAACGCCTTTTACTTGGTCAGCATCCATTTCACAATACTTGGAATGATGATGATGATGATAAAAGGAAGATCCAAAGACTTGACCTATCAAAAGCGTATTGACTTAACGAGGCATTTGGGTGAAACTAAATCATAGTTTTAAAAATAATTTTACAGAATATAAAATAAATATACTAGAGAAATTTTGTCTTGACTATATGAAAACACTTTTAAAAAATATTTTTATTGTAAACAAAACACCCCCTTAGCTTGGTTGATGGAGTTATGGAAAAGGGTGGACAAACTTGACAAAATGACTTGATTCCACCAAAAATTAATTTTAAGGGGAAAAAACCTGAGAACTTAACAAATATTTCCTCATCTTCTAAATATGAAACCTTATCGAAGGCATTATTTTATTTCTAATAAGATTTCAACATTGGTTTTTTCGGATATTTTTTTTTTAAATTACTCTTATTGATTGGATATATGTGACTATGTGTCTCTCAAATTCCAATACACTAAATCATTAAAAGAAGGGATATTTAAAGTAACCTTGTGTTAATTTTTAAAAAAAATTAAAATGACTTTCAGATCACAAGTTTAAGTTATATTTGGAAAAAAAAAACATAGAGAGAAAAAAAAAGAGGGAGCATAAATTTACAACCATTATAACAAATAATTACTGTTATAATAACTTAATGGCAATATCTCTTTGATCAATCGACCTTCTCTCTAGCTTGTTAAAAGGGATTGGGGATCTTGACTTCTTTTTATTTTCCTTTCGTTATTTGCTTTTTTCTGTTAAAGTTTTCTTCCCTTTTCTTCTCTATCAGGGAAAAAAATCTGTTGTGCTTTGTCTTAACAAATTTAGTCCTTGCATAAACCACTTATATTTTTTGACGAGTTCAACTCTATTATTTTAAAATTAAAAAATAAAAAAAATTCAAGCATGAGTCTCTCAGTGTGATCTTGTCTCTAAAATTTTTGTGGTGTTGGTTTAAGTATACAAATACATTAAGATAATTTACTAATTAATTTTCTTAATTTCTTTAAATTAGTCAACTAAATCTTATATTAAGGGTTGGAGTTAGTATATGTATTGGTAATGATAGCCATTGATTGATTCCTCATACACCAGCCATTGAATAAGATTGGAATTATTAGAAGACTTCACAAAATTGATATAGAGACTGCAATTGAGTGTGATTTGGGCAAAAGACGTAGGAAATAAGGTCGGAATACTTGGGAAAAAAGAGGTTGCAAGACTTTGGGAAAAGAGGTCATTAAAAAAAATAAAAAGAGTAAGCTATACAAATATTTTTGAGAAAATTGTAGATTTTTTCCTTCTATTTTTTAGCATTAATGTAATTTTTTTTTAAATTTTGCAAAAATTTTACTAACTTTCATTCTATTTTTAAGTGTTTTTATCAGCCTTCCTAAAAAACAAGATTTAATTTTATCATTCTTCTTCAATTTTTTGTCTCTTTTAAATCATGCAAACCTCCTATCCACTTTCAAAATCAACTTATCATGAAAATGGAAAGAACTAAATCTTCAAAAACATTTAGAATAAGTCCTTGTATTTTATTTTTTTGTCTTGTTTGGAATATTTTTATAGATTTTGAGAATAAAGAGAAATTTGTTTCGATAACTGAAGGAAAAGAATCACGCAATTTATTTTTTCATTTTAAATTTAGCAAGGTGGAAGTAAGATTTTCTATAAACAATTAATGGCTAAAGAATATATTTAATTCTTTAACTATATACAAAGTTTCAGTTTTGTCCCTTAATTAATTTTAAAAAGTATGTTTTTAGTCATTTAATTAAAATTTTTTTATCATAATCATGATTATTTTGAAAATTCAATTGATATATTAGCAATTTAGAAGTTCTTATCAATATTTCAGATCCTAATATTATTATTTTTTGTTAATGGTTTTAGAGCTAAATAACTAAAAATATTTTTTAAAAATTTAAAGTACCAAAAATGAAACTTCATGTAAATTTAAAAGACTGAATATACTTTAAGCAAAATTAATATGGTCTCAAAAAAAGTTAAAATTTAAAAAAAATCCACAAGTGCTTCTATAAATATTTCAAGGAACCGTTTCGATCGCTGCTTCATCACTTCCAGAAACAGTTTCATGATGATTCTTCATCGGATGTCACAAATGTCTCTGATTCTATTGGCGTTGCTATGTGCAGTGAGATTCAACACAATCACTTGCTGCCATGAGAGGGACCGACGTTCACTTTTAAGCTTCAAACAAGGCGTTGTTGATCCCTCCAACCGCCTCTCTTCTTGGTCCACTCTCCCAGATTGCTGCCAATGGGATGGAGTTCACTGTGATACCAACAACAGAGTCGTTGGCCTTTCTCTGTGGGACGACGGAGACTATTATTTTGATCCAATAATCAACAATCATTTAGAATTACTGAGAGGTGAAATCAACTTATCTTCTTTACTTGCTATTGAATCTCTCGAATGGTTGGAGTTGGACGGCAATGACTTTGAACGCATAAGCATGGCGCCTATCAATAATTCTGTTGCAACTCATACTCATTTGCTACCCAATTCTTCTAAGCTTTCTGATGTGAGTTTATCATACAATATTCATCTCCACGCTGATAATCTTCATTATTGGCTCTCTCGACTTCCTTCCCTGACATCTCTCGACCTCAGTGGCATTCGTCTTCCTAGTGAAACCAATTGGGTTCAATCATTGGCCTCGCTACCTCTGGGGAATTTACGTTTGCGTGATTGTAATTTGACCACCTCGATTCTGTCTTTCCAGCATACCAATTTTAGCTCACTTTCATATCTTGATCTTAGTCTGAATGATTTTACATTTGGATTACCTAATTGGTTGTTCAATCTTAGCAAAGATCATCTCGAAAGATTTGGTCTCAGTCAATGCAATTTGAGAGGTCAAATTCCAGATCTTTCAGGCTATCGAAATCTGTGGTTGTTAGATCTATCTAACAACAAACTCAAAGGGTCGATACCTGGTTGGTTTGGCCAGCTTGATGGACTAGCTCTCCTGGATCTATCTAATAACTCGTTTCACAGTTCCATTCCTTCTAATCTCTTAAATGCATCAGCTTCGTTATTATATTTAGATATTAGCTTCAACAACTTGAGTGGTCCGCTCCCAAACATTCTTGGCCAAAATATGTCTGCGTGGCCTATATCGGACTTTTTGTCCATGACAACTTTGGAAATATCTATGTCATTTAATAAATTTGAAGGAAGGCTTCCTCGAGTATCAAATTCGGTCCAAGTTTTGGATTTATCTTACAACTATTTCTCAGGACCTTTATCTTCCTTATTGTGTCACGGTGAGACTAATGAGTTTACTTTGAAGTATTTAGACATATCAAATAACAATCTCACCCAAGAACTTCCAGATTGTTGGAACAATTGGACACATTTGTCTCAAATATACTTAGGGAATAATCAGCTAGTTGGTCAAGTTCCATCAACGATGGCTGTCATTATATGATCTAGAGGCACTAGATCTACATAATAATGGCATTTCAGGTGATATACCTTGGACTTTCGGAAATTCCACATCTTTGATGCTGCTCAATTTAGCAGGAAACAACTTCTCTGGAAGTATACCAACATGGATGCCCCAAAATATAGCAGTTGTGAAATTGAGATCCAATCAATTTGCAGGCAACATTCCACCACAGCTATGTAGTCTCTCTTACTTGATCGTATTGGACCTTGCCAATAACAAGCTTTCAGGATCAATCCCCCATTGTCTAAACAACATAACCACTTTGGTTTCAAAACTTTTTGACTATGACGAATCCATAAAATTAGGTAATTCAATGGTTGGCTACGAGGGATTCTTAAAATTAAGTAATTCAATGGCTCCCTACAGACATGATTATTTCATGAAAATTGATTTGCACACAAAGGGTCAAGAATTAGAGTATCAGAAAAATCTAAACTACGTGCGAAGCATCGATCTATCGGCTAACGAGCTATCAGGAGAAATTCCTGTACAAATGTTCGAGCTCACCAAGTTACAATCCTTGAACTTGTCTTATAATTATCTAAGTGGAGAGATACCAGAGCTAATCGGAGAGATGAAAAATCTAGAATCTCTTGATTTCTCCCATAACAATCTTCATGGGAGTATTCCTCAGAGCATGTCTGGCTTATCTTTCCTAAGTGACTTGAATCTGTCTTACAACCACTTGAATGGACAAATTCCATCGGGCACTCAGCTTCAGAGCTTTGATGCTTGGAGTTACATTGGAAATCTTGAACTTTGTGGACCTCCTCTTCAAAAGAACTGCACAATACCAAAGAAAACAGACAATACAGGGCAGGTTGAAGGAAATGAGGATGATGCTTTCTTGAAGTCAATGTATCTTGGAATGGGATTGGCTTTGCTGTGGGATTCTGGGTAGTTTCTGGTTCTCTGTTCCTGAACAGAGCATGGAGGCACACTTATTTTCGATTTTTTAATGGTGTGGTTGATCAAATCTATGTCACTGTGGCCATAAAACTTCGGAGATTTGGTTGAATGGGAATATGCTACAGCTCCAGGTCAGTTATAAAGTTATTTTATGATCTATTTAAAGTTTTTTTTTATAATAATTTTTATTTCTACACACATATTCATCAGTGTTGTAATGATTTCACGTTTCTGTTTTTTTCTTCTTAAATCAAATGCATAATGCAAGGCTCCATTCACTTGTATTAATGCAAAGGGTAATTTCAACCGTTTAAAATGAATTAAATACTTAATCTTTCATTCAAAAACAATTAAAAAATGTACAAATCTATCTTTAAATATTTAAGTGTCCAAGTTAAATTCATGTTCCTCGTTTTCCAAAAGTTGTTGTTGGTCCAAAGCGGCATTTAGATTTATGATCCTAGAAGTTTATCTTTTCATTTTCTCTTTACAAATTAATTGTGATTTTAAAAAGAAACTCACACTAAAAGATTTGTTCTTTTCCCCCCGTTTTGACAGAGTTAGAGCGGACTCATATCATTCATGCTTATTTCTAAAAGCAATAGGCAGTTGATTCCAGATTTTCAAGACTCGTCGTTGCTTATGATCCTTGATTGATGGAAGTTTGGATGAAGCTTTCGTACATGGTGGCAACCTCAATAAGTATTCAGATGTTTTCGGTGGTGTTTTGTAATTTGTGTCTGTCATTGTGCTTACTGATTGATTTGGCTGTTTAGAAAAATTTGGTATGTTGGATTTTTCCAAGATGTGGTTTCATGTTGTAGTCAATTTCCCAAGTATTGTTGTTCCTCAATTAAAAAAAAAAAAGGAGTTTGAAAGATATTATTTTGATTTGAAGTATGCTATTCTTATTATGACATTCATGATTCGTAGAAATGTGACATCTGAGGATGAATTAACTTGGACTACACATTAAGATCGGTATTGTACAAAGTTGGCATGTCATAGACAGAACCATTGAGGATTCATTATATTGGCAAAGTCCATATTTCTTACTTATTCTTAACTTAATTCAAACGTAATAAGTATGTGTATTGGATGCATTTATGTCACACACACACAAATGTCAATGAAAAAGGTTGAAAGACTTTTTTTTTTTTAGAAGACTTAACAAGGAATATGATGTGCATGGAAATTTTTTAAGCTTTTAAATTAGTTTTTCATTACCTTCATAACAGAGTAAAACTAAAAGCATTAGGCAAAACCTTACAAGCTAACAAGTGGGACATAAGGCACTTTTCCAAAACAATTCTTTCACAGGATTCAAATAGATCCAATCCAAACATCCAAAGGTCATAAACTGTTTCTATAGTTCATACTTGAAGGAAGAACTAGTTATCTAAAAAGTAATTTGTAAACTTTCATAATTAAGGGTGGAGTTAATTAGTTGACATGACTTTAATTTAAGGAATATGAAAAATATAATAAAAGTAGTGAACTTGTGATTGATAATGAGAGAATTATACAGGATAAGGTACTAAATGTATATTAATCCTACATTAAACCCTGGCAAATATAACTCAACAAGGGAAGACACAAAGCAAACAGAACACATGAACAAGTAAAAAACAGGGAGACATAAGTATTTAATTTGAAGATAAATATTTGACCTATTGATTGCACCGCTGCACGTTTCATACAAGCAAAGAAAAATTCAAAAAAAAAAAAAAAGGTTGAAAAACTTGATGATTCTGTGTAATGACTCAGTTGGGCATTTATTTTACAGGCAAAGACTTGAGAGGGGAAACGTTGAGAAGGACTTGACATGGATGATGATCTGTTTTTTTAAAGGCGTGAGAGGGTATTTATTATCTTTCCAATTCATGTTTAAAGATAAGGATTGATATGGAAAATTTTTCATTTACAACAACAAAGTTTATGATTCAAGGCAGCAAAAAAAGTAGATTTTTCATCCTTTAACTTTAAAAATAGTTTGATTTCTTAATTTTATAAAATATCTTTTCAATCCTCCAATCCTAACATGACTAATGTCAAATAATGGTAATTTTTTATACCAATCATTGTAATTTTAAGAAATTAAATTTAACATAATACCTATGTCAAGTTTCTTATATTCATTATATTAAGTTTTTCAATTACATTTTGCCATATGTTTTTTTTTTTTAATATCAACCCATATAAAAAAGATACATGGAAAAGTATGATTTGAGAATTCGATATAATAGTCATAAGAAGCTTGACCTCAATTTTTTCCTTAAATTTAATATATCAGCATTTATGAATGTTTTGTCAATATTTAAAATTTTAATATCAGTATTTTTTACTAATAAAACGCATGGTGTTAGAGTTAAAGGGCTGAGTTTCAATGGCGAACTTTCAGCGGCGACTAAAAAAGTCGCCGCTGAAAGTCCACTTTCGGAGGCGACAAAAAAAGTCGCCGCTGAAACCAAGACTTTCGGCGGCGACACTTTCAGCGGCGACTAAAAAAGTCGCCGCTGAAAGTCCACTTTCGGCGGCGACACTTTTGTCGCCGCTGAAAGTCTTGGTTTCAGCGGCGACTTTTTTTGTCACCGCCGAAAGTCGTCGCGTAAAGTCTATTTTTTTGTAGTGGACGCAGCTCTGTGAGTTCCATTGATCAATGGGCAGATTTAAGTGTATCGTGGTTCCAGAGACATTGAAAGTGATAGACTTAGATTTGGGGGAACAACTTGGGAAAGAAGGTCAGAAGACTTGGACTTCCAAATTTTATCTCAATCAATGCAATTTGAGAGGTCAAATTCCAGATTTTTCAGGCTATCAAAATCTGATGCGCTTAGATCTATCTAACAACAAACTCAAAGGATCCATACCTAATTGGCCTGGCCAGCTTGATCAGTTAATTGTACTTGATCTGTCTAATAATTCGCTTAATAGCTCTATTCCTTTTAATCTCCTAAACATATCATCTTTACTCGAATTAGATATTAGCTTCAATGACTTGAGTTGTGCACTCCCAAAAATAAGTCTCACAACTCAATTAGCAGGGATATATCGCACTTGTGGCAAAAATGTTCGAACATATTTATGTCATCTAACAAACTCGAAGGACAGCTTCCTCAAGTATCAGATGCGATCCTAGTTTTGGATTTATCTTACAACTCTTTCTCAGGACCTCTTTCTTCTTTATTGTGCCACGCTGAGACTAATGGGTATGCCTTGGAATATTTGAACCTGTCCAGCAATAATCTCACCCAAGAACTTCCAGATTGTTAGAGCAATTGGACTTTTTTGCGTTACATAAACTTCGGGAATAATCAGCTAGTTGGTCAAGTTCCTCCAACCATGGGTTCTTCATTATATCATCGCCTAAAAGTGCTAGATCTACATAATAACGGCTTTTCTGGCAATATACTTTGGACTTTCCATAATTGCACATCTTTGGTGCTGCTTAATTTAGAAGGAAACAACTTCTCTAGAACTATACCAACATTGATACCCCAAAGTCTATTAGTTGTGAGATTGAGATCCAATCAATTTACGGGCAACATTCCACCACAGCTATGTGCCTTCTCTTATTTGATTGTATTGGACGTTGCACATAACACACTTTCAGGATCAACCCCGCATTGTCTACTCAATATAACCAGGTTTTTATCAGCATTTGATTTTAGTGTTTTAGTTGGTGAATTAGCTTATGAAAAGATGGTATCCCAACTCCACATGAATACATGAAAATTGATTGCACACAAAGGGTCAGCAATTAGAATATGAGAAAAATCTAAAGTTGGTGCGAAGTATTGATCTATTAGCTAATAAGCTTTCAAGAGAAATTCCTGTACAATTGTTCAAGCTCACCAAGTTACAATCCTTGAACTTGTCTTACACTTATTTGATAGGAGAGATATCAAAGTAGATCGAAGAGATGAAAGATCTAGAATCTCTTGATTTATCCATAACAATCTTCATGGGAATATTCCTCAGAGCACGTCTGGTCTATCTTTTCTCAGAGTTTTGAATCTGTCATACACCCATTTCAGCAGTCAAATTCCATTGGGCACTCAGCTTTAGAGTTTTGATGCATGGAGTTACGTTGGAAATCCTAAGCTTTGTGGACCTCCTCTTCAAAAACTGCACAATACTAGAAAAATCAGACAATATAGAGAAAGTTGAAGAAATGAGGATGATGCTTTTTTAAAGTGATTGTATCTTGGAATGGGAGTTAGTTTTGCTTGGGATTTTGGCTAGTTTGTGGTTCTCTCATCCTGAACAGAGCATGGAAGCACTCTTATTTTCAATTCTTTTATGCTGTGACTAATCAAATCTCTGTCATTGTGGCCGTAAAACTTCGAAGATTCGACTGAAACAGAATATGAGAGAACACAAGGTCGATTATGAAGTTTTCCCTCCCTTTATTTAAGTTCAAAGTTTTCTTCTAATGTGATTCTTATTTCTTAGCATATTCATCCGAAATGTAACGACTTTCCTGTCCTTTTGTGGCTCAATAAATCAAAAGCTTGATACAAGTGAATTTCAACTGTTTTAGTCAAATTAAAATTTATTGATTTCCTATTTTTAAATTTTTAAATTGTGTCCAACTTAAATTTAGGGAAAATTATTATAAGGTCCCAAGAAATGAATATAACTGTCAAAAAGTCCTACAGTAAATAATCAACATATAATAACAAGTTTGGTGCAAAAAATTATAACAAGTCCATGTTCACTTGTTTGTGAAAATTTTTTGTGATTATATTCCTTCCTTAAAACTTCATAGAGCTACATGTACATCTTTAAAGTTATTATTTCATCAAACGCCAGCATTCGGACTTGTGATCCAGATTTAATACTTTCTTATTTTTAGTTGTCATAATATTCAAGGAGGCAAAAACTCATTCTCATATAAGATTATTTTTATTTTTGAAATGTTTCCAAATAAAAAAATTAAAATTATACATATATACTTTGATTCTTATGTGGTGATTGTGTTAGCAGTAAACTAGTAGTATATATACATGTTTGTTCTAGAGTGGCATCCATCCCCAAAGCATGGGTACTTATGTCATTTGGTTGATGGAAGTTAGGGTGAAGCTCTAGTGTGGCAGCTCCAAGTGTTCAAATGTTGTAAGCTGTTAGTACAATAATGTGTTTTCTTCGGATTTTGTGAGGTATGCTTGATTTGGTTGTTCATATGAATTTGGTGTGTCCAATTAATTATTATTAGTTAATCTGCCAAGTTTGAAAGATTTTATAATTTGAAGTGTGTTGTTCTCATTATGATTTGTAGAATGTGATATGTGCGTCTTAAGATAAACTAGTTTTAAATTAACTTCTTTTACACATCAACCGGAGATTTTATATTGTAGTAACAAGACAAAAAATTGCCAGTGTAAGTTTCTTGTCTTTGCTGGTCCAACTTTTTGACAACAACATATAATTTAAAGAATCCTGATAAATTTTGAAACAAATATTATTTAATGTGTATTTTAAAATGAGTAAAAATATTATTACGCTTGCCATTGATGATGAATTAAAGTATTAAACTAGAAAGAAAACCCATATGTTAATGATTTTATTTTTCAAAACTTTGACCCATTTTACCAAAATTGCAAATGGGCTTCCGCGTTCGTTCTATTGTTCGTGGGCCCAAAATCCTCGGGTCAGAAAAATACAAATCCAAATTCACGAAGGTTAAAAAAGGGTCAGAAAAAAAAGAAGAAAGAACAAGTTTTGGTATTTGGACCACAAGCGAGCTTCCTTGTATTTGTATGAACCTTCTAGAGATAGAGATTTTGCTTTTTGGACCACAAGCCAGCTTCCTTGTATTTGTATGAACCCTCTGGAGATAGAGATTTTGTTTTTTGGACCATAAGCCAGCTTCCTTGTACTTGTATGAACCTTCCGGAGATGGAGGATTTTTTTTTTTTAACTAAGCATAAATATTCTTGAGTATTAAGTGTGGGTCTGATTCTCTTATCCTCTTGTTAGAGACAAGCATAATCCAATTATTATTGGGTACTAAATATAGGCATGATTATCTTATTTATATAATCATATATATTATATAGAATTATTATTTAATGAAATTTTTAACAAGTACAACTATTATAAGAATTACCTTAATAAAAATAGATAATATGAGAGATAAAATGGATTGAGATTTTATATTTATGACTAAAATAAATATCAAACCAATTTTATATTAAGAACTAAAGGTAGTCGTTTAACTTGTAGCCCAACTAACTGTTATTAATTAATAATGTAAACACACACTAGTATTAATAGGCACGTTGATTGTTTTCTCTGCTACGTGGTTTTGGTTGTGCTGAATAAGAGTTTCTAAACAAATTGTTATTCCACAAGATTAATTTTGCTGGGAAAACCGGGAAACTTGGCACATATTTCCCCATGTTCTAAATATAAAACTTATTGAAGGCTTCATTTTATCTCTTAAAAAGACAAAATGATTTAAATTCTTATTAAAATTTGGGGATTAATATTTTACATAGAAAGAAATCTTAAGGACAAATTAAAACTCACGGTTTAAAATTATATGGACCAAAAACCAAAATAAAAATAAATTACTATGTCGGCTTATCAGCTGTGGTGTATACAATTAGATACTAATATTATGGTAATTCTTTGTTTATTTTTTAATCATATTTTTAACAATAAAATTAGTGATTCATATTTTCTAAAATAATCTTGTATTGATTTAAAAAAAATTAAAATGACTTACAAATAAGAGATCACAAATTTAAGTTATATTAAAAAACAGAAAAAAAAGAGAGAGCACAAGTTTACAAACAAAATAATAATTACTATTATACGTGTAACAACTTAATGAGAATATGTCTTTGATCAATCGGCCTTCTCTAGCTTGTTATAAGGGGAATTGGGATTCTTGATTTCTTTCTACTTTCCTTTCGTTTTCTTGTTTTTGTAGTTTTGTTCCCCTTTCTTCTCCATTCATTTAAAAACAAAAAATCTATTGTACTTTATGTCTTAAAAAAACGTAGTCCTTACATAAAACTTTCATACTTTTTGACGAGTTCAAATATTATATTTCAAAATTAAAAAAATTAAAAATAGAAAAGACTTTTCAAGGATGAATCACTTAGTGTGGTCCTATACCAAAAATTTTTGTGGTGTTGGTTTGAGCCATGGGCAATGGTAGTGACTCATTGATTTATCACACCCCACCCATTAAATAAGATTGGAATTATTAGAAGACTTCACAAAACTAACATAGAGACCGCAATTGAGTGTGATTTGGGCAAAGACGTGGGAAATAAGATTGGGAGGACTTGGAAAAGAAGCTACAAGACCCTTGGGAAAAGGTCATTTCAGAGAATAATAAATAAAAAAGAGTAAGCTGTACTAATGGCAAAATTATATTTTCCTTTTTCAACCTAAGCACCCGTTTATTGTAATGTTTAATCTTGAAGTTTCTTTAATTATCACAATATTGATCATGGAATGTACAGTTTTATTCCAATTTCCATTTTGGGCAATTTTTATTTACAATTTCTATGTTATAGTGAAAGACGGAAAAACACAACACGTTACAGATGCTAAGAAATGATCTATTTTCTTCAAGGCCACGAAAAAGATAATGAATACAGTTTAGTTTCAAATTGCTAAATTATACAAGTACCAAAAAAAAAAAAAACAAGAACGTTAAATTATAGAAATTTAAGATTTGAAATTGGGTCAAATTAATTATCAGAAAAATTAATTTAATCAACAATATTAAAATAGA